ATCATGAAACCAGTAAAAAAATTAAATGATTGATCGATCCTAACTTAGTCCAGGAGACATTGCCGAGGGCCAATTTCAAAGTTTTTAAATGCAGCATGAGAACTAAAAATTTATAAAGGCTCGTCAAATGGTCAAAAATTGATAAAATATTTTATTAAGTCGAATTGACAAAGGTTTGGTTATAAGCAGTCGTAGTAGAATAAATAGTTAATTATATAAAAAAATATATTTATAAATATATTGTATAATTTGTTTTTATAAAAAAAAAAACCCTCAATTCTCAAGTCAATCGACAATATATATATTTATATATGATCAAATATTTGTATTATTTTTCGGAGATGGAGAGAGGTTGGGCAATAGTAATGTTGTATGTAGGAACTATTTGGTTTTTCTAAACCTTTTCGTTTTTTTCAGAAAGCATTAATCTTTAGTATAAAAAACAGAAACCTGAATTTTCTTTAACATTTTTACCTCCTCAAGAAATGGATGAAAGCAAAACCGTCAACATTTTCAATTTCAATTAATAAATTTTATGATCCTTTAAATATAGAAGAATGTTTTGGTTTTATCATATCGTGAAATGATTGGAGATTAAAATAATGTTACTCAATTCTAACAGTAATAATAAAAAATCATAAATACTTATAATATTCTTAAAAAATAGAAACAAATTATGCCTACATCTCGACGGAAAAATAAATAAAACAAATAAACTGAGATGTACTAAACAGTTAAATTGATCAATAAATTTCATGATAATACGAAGACTAATGCAATATCAAAAAATATATTCGACAAGAGTTTATGTAACTTAATTTTTTTTTTAATTTAACATTATTTTAGCTTCCTTATTAGAAGCTAAATGAGGGATTTCCTCCACTAACAACAAATATCAAAATCAAGACAGGAAAGGACACCGCTGGGCACTCCTCTCCCTGATGTCTACCAAAGATCTATGACTTCTATATCTCGACATCACCCTCGGTGGTTGTCGGACCTTCGGACAGGTGTGAGTGGAAAAATAAATTTAAACATTTTTTTTTTTGGTGGTAAATAAACCTATAAATAAGTTTTTTTTTTTAAATAAGATATTTATCTACTTAAACACATTTGGACTTCTGCTTCACAGGTATACTGAACAGCCAAAATGACTCTCATACGAAAATTACGAAATTTTTAGACAAAAATTTACAGAACTCTAACTAAAGCTATAACATTACTATTTGTTTTTTTAATATTAGAAATCAACATTTCTCCTTCTTACATTGTCTAAAATGAACGGGGAGATAGTATGTGCATTTTCATTTTGCTCTAAACTGTAGGATTTTACGTGCCATGATTGAAAGTTAAATCATGACTGTACGTTAAAAAAAAATATTTTTCACTCCTCTAATTCTCTTTTCGTATATTTTGACACCTCTAATTCTCCGATCATCAAAAACTGGCGCCTGGTGCCATGGTACTTCTTCACAAATATTACTTTACATAAAGACCTACACGTTTCAACAGTTAACGGCCACATACGTACAAACTGCAAAAGATTTACCAACTTACATGAACATCTTAATACTTTTACAATAATTTATTATATTTTTTATAATATAAGATAAATATAATTAATTTCTCCTTCCAATTTTTGTTCTTCTATGTATTCAACAATTCTGCTTAAAGTGCATTATAAATTATATATTTGTTATACTTGTTACAAAGACAATGCTCAAATCGAAGTCCAATTCTCAAGTTCCCTGCGAAAGGAAACACTTTACCATAATAATTTTACCATTTCATACTCGTTATAAGTTACATATACTTATGCCCCAAAAATATTCATTCTAGAAATGATAAGTTTTTTTTAAAACGAAGTGCATTTTCGGATATGTTTTTATTTATGGAACAGAATGAACCTTAAAAATAAAAGAGATGGGAATAAGGCTACAGTTCGTGTGTTTTTCTACCATTGGTTTGGCGGAGAGCATGTGAATTAAGTTATATTCTCGAAAAATTTCAGAAAAAAATGACTTTTACGTAGTTTTTGAAAAAAGTCACGTATTGTGTCTGAAATAACCGATTCATTTGTTGAAACCACCATTAAAATAAAGTAACTGTGAATATCGTTAATACATTTAATAAGCACGACATACCTATTTATTGTATATAGTTATATAATTAGTTATATAGGTTTAAATTATTTAAGAAATATAAATAAGTACTGTAAAGTTAATAAACTAAGCAATTTAGGAATAAAGACATTTATAACAGGGTTTTTAACAAAATCCTTTTATTTTCTTCTATATTTTATACAATTTTTTAAAGAGGAGAATAAATTATCATTTACAATAGTTATTGTTTTAGTTTTTCTTAACCCTGAGGGATTATCTATTAAATGTTTCATATTTCCTTATAAATTCCAGTAAATCGCTTTTAAGCAGTGAGTACAGGTTACGTAACCAAAAGCAATCGGACATCATTTTTCAAACCTTTCATAAACAATAATTAAATCCAAACTACATGGTTAGGAAATATGCAAAATTTAAAGCAGAAAAATATAAAATAATTTTAATTACAACAAATATGGTTCACCCTCGAGCTGTTCAACTACGATTCAATTTAATTTTATATATTTTTTATTCCAACGGTTTTTTTTTTAAAACAAAATTTGATTATTTCGTTAAATTGTCAAATAAAAATATTTAGGAAAACGTATTAAATTAAACATTTACATCATCTCTTCATTATTTTATGAAATAATAAAACAAAAACATTCTTATATATTTAAAGGATCATAAAATTTATTAATTGAAAAAAATGTTGACAATTTTGCTTTCATCCATTTCTTGAGGAGGTAAAAAATGTTAAAGAAAATTCAGGTTTATTCAGATATATATATCATAGATAGACTTGAGAATTGAGGATTTTTTTTATTTTCCAAAAGTAAATAATCACGAAATATGTACTGGAAAAAAATAAGAAAAAACAAATTAATCAATATATTTATTACTGTATTTTTTTATATAATTAACTCTTTATTCTAATATGGCTGCTTATAACCTTGCTGTGGAAGATTTCTTTAGTCTTTGCGTTCTACATGTGAGTAGACACAATTCTACGGGGGAGGGGAGAAGGAGGCCTTCTCCTCTCCCCCCAAAATAAATTGTTTTTAATGATAAACAGTAAAAAGTAAAAAAAAAAAAGAACTTATTACGTTGTTGGTTTGATGTATAATTATGACAATAATAAATAGTATTAAACTTTGATAAAAATTAAATGTTCTTAAAAAGTTTAGAGACATCTCTTATATTATATAGGTCCCTGACACAATAGAGTAGATCGGTATTTCCAGGGAATTGAGGTATGTCCTCCCCTCTCTCATTCTTTCCCCCCAAGTCCCTACATACACTCCTCAAACTTTATTCCAAGTTTAGATTAGAAGAAAAAATTCGAAAAAATTAGAAAGAAAAAATCCTATAAAATATGGAAATGAGGGATATAATCACCTAAAGAATTAAAAAGAAAAAATGTCTATACTAAAGAGATCCTGAAATATATTAAAATATAGAAAATTTTATTTGAACGCTCTTCTTGAGGAAGAAATTTTTATTAAAAACTAACATTAAATTATAATTAATTTTAACATGTGCCTTACCGATGTTGTGCATTTAAATAATAATTGGATATTTTTATAAATATTTAAATATGTAATTTGCATGTTAATTTTAATTGAAAAACTTATCGAATTATTCATATAATATAAAACTTTTCACCACTCGAACTTCAGCCGAGTAATTTTCCTCAGTCCACTGAATCACCACAGATAAAGGTAATTCAAAAAATTGGTGCCATTGAACAAACATATTCAGGGAATTCAAGTGGTGTTTTTTTTTAGAGATCACACGTAAATAGTTCACGTGAGACCAACGATTCGACAAATAAAACATCCTTAAAAAACTATGTTTGAGAAAAAATAAAATTAGAATTTCAAGTAAACAATAATAAAATAGTTTTATATAAAGTAAAAAATCATAATTTAGTTTAATCAATTCATCAAATAATTCAAGGTCTAAGTGGAAGAACATGTTACGTCATATTTAAAAAAAATAGAGATTTTCGTTTTGAATAATCATTTTCTCATATTGTATTGTTTATTTTTTTTCTAAATCTTAAATTGTGTTAATTTTAAGACACATCCTTAAACAGGAATAAAGAAATCATTAAATTCAATTTTTCTCGGTTTTAACTTTTAAATCTTTCACCCACTTAGTTCTTCAATTAGCAAAATACAAAAAATGTTATTGAAATATATTTTTTAAACACCAATATGACTTTTACTTTATTTGTAATAATAAAATTAAACAATAAGTATGTATAAGTATGTTTATATTAAAATAAAGGTGCGTTTAGGCATTTCACAAACTCAAATTTCACAAATAAAACAACAGTTATATAAATACTTATTTCAATATACCATTTTTTTTGAAAGGGTAAATGTTCGGGGCTGAAACATTGAATGTAAAGTAAAAATAAAGTAGGGCTAATGGATCTAATGTTTCATGAAAATAATATAATAAAAGAGATTGAATTTCCTTATAAAAAGTTATTAATTACCAAAATGATACAGTTGTAGCGTTTGATACAGAAAATTAGGTCAAAAAAATCGGAAATATTTCAGAGATCTATCATTGCTTACAGCGCTACCTACGGGCGCATCTTTTGAAACTACCCCAACCCCGTCACCCTCTTATATAAGATAACATATTTTACAAAAATTCTTTCTTGAAATACTTTTAAAATATATATATAAATAATAAATTGAAGATATCCGGTGGAATTTAACTGTATGCACATCTTATGATTGGCATAAACCTTATCTTTGTGTTGCAGTTTTGAAATATTATTGTACCAAGGAGTGTTTCTAAGATAAATATTTTTAAATTCCACGGTTTTAACTCTTCTATTGAGGCAAAAAATGTTAAAATAAATCTCTAATTCTTTTTTTTTTTGTAATGAACAATCATATGCTTTTCTGTTTGATGCCTTAGTGAAATTTAGTTTTTTTATTTCTTTTTAAAATTATAAGTGAAAAATGAATAAACGAAGAAAAACTGCTCAATGGTATACTTCCATAGCAATGAAACCAAAACCACTTTATTATCAGAATGAACTTTTTAATTTACCATTATTAATTATTAAATAAACGAGGCATTTGTCAATATTTGTCGACAACACTTAACATAGATAAAGATGCCCAATAAGATAATATTGTTTTATCATCGCTAAGAGTAGGTACTGTTAGAAAGACCTTACCTTGTACTGAGCTGACTTGGATGGTGTGTGTACAACTATCGCCTTGTCCTCTTCGATGCTCTCAATCACCCGTACTTCTCCTATCTTCTTCCTCATTTCTTCTATTGTGTTGTTAACTTCTTCATTCACATCTCCGACTTTCTTTTCGTTCTCTACTTCCGTCGATTCCTTCTCGAGAGGCCCTTCTTCTACCGGCTGCGGCTTGGATGGCTCCGAATTCACCTTCTGGTCCTCCGAGTTATCCAGCTTCACTTCTTGCTCGATGGTATCCTTCACCACGTTGGAACTCTCCGGCATGTTGACGTCCTCTGCCGACGGTTGTGGAGGCGCACTGTCCTGCGGTACCTCTTCAACGTCGCTTTTCTTCTTGGGCTTCTTTTGAGTAGGCGATTTCCCTGCAATCTGTTTTGATAAGACCTCTCCCTCCTTCTTCTTCTTCTTGGGAAGCTTCTTGACGGCCTCAGTCCTTCCCAGGTCGGACATGACTGCTTACATAAGATACTCTCCTTCCCCCCACCCCGTGCCCTAAGCCCTCGCGTTACGTAACTCAACACGCCTCTCCACCGCACTTCTCTCCGTGCCGGAGAATGTAATATTTTGATAAACAATGAGTGTTTTATCGAATGTATCATAATTAGAAATTAATTGCTTCATTATTGTAGACAGATTTATAAATACATTTGATACTTCTGTAAGTTACAATTTTAGTAACTTTCGTTATGTGCTTTAAAATGACATTTTAATGACGCGAATATGAATTAAACTGTATAAACAGAAATTATTAGTTTTTCCTTCTAATCAAAACTCACATCAATTGATAGTCCGTTAATCAAATGAAATTGATAAATGTTAAAAAGAAGATTGATAGTAATGTAATTAATAATCTTTAATAAATATATAAATGTAGTATTGCTATATTCTATAATATAAATGATGTTCTCCCTTATATATATATATATATATATATATATATATATATATATATATTTAATTGATTCAATGAAAACAATTATATAATAAATTTATAATTTAATTAAATCAGTGATATAATTTTCAGGTATTTGGCAAAGTTCTTACTAAAACACAAATTCTGTTATTTTGTTTTAACCTTCTTCATTTCGACATTGACTGTATGTATTTATTACAAATATAAAACTCACATTAAAGTAAGGAATATGGATACAAACAACAATAATAATTAATATATATTCAATCTCTATATCTTCTTGGAAATCACTATAACCTAAGATAGCAATTAATAGGATGGATACATTATCTGGTGTGTCCACTTAAATAATTTTTATTACCGATTTAGGTGCCAAATTCAAACTATTATTTTCTACATCATCATTAATATTGTTCTGTCGAATTTAGTTTAATTTATATATTTATTTTTTTATTTCTATCTTTTTAGGTAATTTCATAATTTTTCAAATAAGTATATAGAAAGCTATAGAAGGTGTTAAGTTTTATTAGAGTAAAATAAGATAACGAAAAATACACGGAATATTTTTGAAAATAGGGCATATTAGAAAAAAAAAAAAAAAAAAAAAATAATATATATATATATATATATATATATATATATATATATATATATATATATATATAAATGATTATTTAATATCTAAAAACTGCAAGAAGGTGGTGAATTTGTTAACGAATTCACAAGATTATATATATATATATATATATATATATATATAATATATATATATATATATATATATATATATATATATATATATATATATATATATATATATATATATATATATATATATATATATATATATACACACCACCTTCTTTCAGTTTTTAGATATTAAATCATCATTTAAAATCTTCAAAAACTTCTGCAGTCACTCTTAGTGAAATTAGTTACATGAAATTGAGTCGGTACCAAAGAACTGTCTTTTGGAAGTCTCAAGATTTTCTTTCATCCCTTTCAGTTCGATAAATTAAATTCGGAAACAAATTATAAATTGTTGAGTTATATTAATTTTTCTTGGGTAAGCATCTATAATATATGTATATGTATATGTGTATACATATATATATATATATATATATATATATATATATATATATATATATATATATATATAATCAAATAATTAGTAATACAATTAATGCTTATTGAAACAGAATCAGTTCAGATTTTAAAAATGAGTCGCACACAAAGCTAACTCTGAAACAGGTCAATTATGCTAATTAACTTGTCGAGTTTTTTAGTGCATTTCTATAAAAGGTGAATACCATGGAGTAATTTTAAAAACGCCAACTCAATTATTTAACAAGGTAACTTACTGAAAGGTTTAATGAGAGGTTAAAAGATATTTAATCCTCATTATCCCACCAGATGGTTGATTGATTCCTATAAATATTTATATTCTTGCAATAAATGAAAAGATATATATCAAATCAAAATATTATAATTACAATTCGTTTTAATACGCAAATCAGTGACGTGTTAGCATACAATTATTTTTTAACTATCAAACTGCAAAAATTGAAATTGAAGAAACCATATTTAACAAATTAATGCCTGGTAGCTTAAAGAGAGCTTTAGATATAAAAATTGTGTTTATTCAGATTTTTATAAGCTAAGATTTTTTTTTTCACAAGAAGCTTTGTCATATCATTCTAAATGTTACCTTAAAAATACCCGATTATAGGCTTCACCCTATTTAGGAGATAAAATTAGAGATCGTGTATATGTTTTGTGGTATAAATATATACTATATTATCATATAGTACACATTTTTAATGCTTAAAAATATGAACGCAAATACTGCATAAGTTACTGCGTACTATAATTTTTTTAGAAAAAAAGACAATATTATATCAATAAAATTGTTTACATATAGGTACCTTTATCACAATGACCATTATATAAATAAGTACTGCATATAAGAATTGTATTAGTACGTCTGTAGTCAACTGGACAACTTAAAACAAAAAACTCATAAATAAAAATGAACCTTTATCTGTGATAGTTTAATGTAATATTCTAATAGACTGTCTTGCGGTTCCTAAATAATAAATATGTATTAGAAAATAATGTGTATTTTATACAGTGCGTCTTAATGCACAACTGGATTGAAGGTTTTGGAGCGGTTGATAACACAACTTGATCTATCCCATCTAATTTACATAACTAATGGACATTTCTTGTAAAATTAGCATTTATTTCTGTCAATAAAAAATAAATAAATAATTATCACTAAATTCGAAAATTGTATAGTGAAGAATTTCATAGAACAAGTACAAAACGTTAACAAGCAGATCGCTTTCTTTCCCAGGTAATAATTGGTATGGGAACTTGAGACATTGCTAAACTCTAGTTGCCTAATTGTAGGGATGTTCTCAAGGCAGGCACTTTCATAAATGATCTGAAGATAAAGAAGAATTAAGATCCGTTTTGGTTTTTATATAACATAATTTTATGTTTTTTTATTTAAACAGCAGCAATTATGCAGTGACGCATAACAGCCCAGATCTGCAAAACCCGTATTGCCTCAATGGCACGGTAGGGTTCAAATAAATAAATAAATAAATGTTTATTTATTTAATTAAATAATTTTTTTTAATATTACATGGCTGCATCCGTGAGCGTTGCTAAGAAAAATTCTGATTGAAGGCATCTTATTTTAGGGTTTCCTAAGTAAGAGGTAAGTTGTTATTAAGGAATCTTCCGGAGTAATAACCTTTCTTAGGCTAAAGCCATAACCGCAAACTTCGAGGGGGAGAGAGAGGGAGGCATTATGGCGTGAATATAGTTTCGTCCCCTCTCCCTCCCCCAATAATTTAAGTAAAAAAATATTAAAAATGATAACAAATAAGTTACATGAATGAATAAAATATGTAAACTGAAATCGGTCGAGAAAATAAGAAAGGCCGGCTGACTAGCTGTGTAAACTAAAGTCTATAAGTAGATACCTAACTGTTTTATATCAATATTTATATTCCTATTATTTAAATTTTTATTTATCCTTGGAGTTTATGATTCATTAAACCTTCATGTGGACACGTCCATTTTCAAATGATTTTCTGCAATCAAGTTGAAAAACATATATTTATTAAGTACACGTATAAATATATTTGATATAGAGTGTTTTATTGACATTTTTACATAACTAGTCAGACTTTGAAAACGTTTTATTTGTATTAGGAGGTTGTACAGACTAAGAATTCAAAACTATTTTTCAGTTTTTAACATTATTCAATTTTTAGCTGAAAAAGTTCTAGCTATGCAGCTATTCAATGAAAGCTGTCCAACTTCTTGTCATGTTTAATGAATACAAATTTTAATATATCCAATTGTTTTATTCAGATATTTTCAAGTATGTTCTAAAGCACATAAAAAAAAAAATATTACAAAATCGTATAACTGGCCTGTATATATACCATATACATACATTTATTTTTAAATACCCAAAATTATATTTGTTCGTACTGCCATGGATTTGTTTTTTTGTTTGTTTTTTTTGTTCGTCTCCCCAATTAAAATGGAAAGTCTGCGTCTACGGCTGAGCCCCCCACCAAAATCGAAGATTTTCTTTTTTCATTTATCCTTAATTTGTGTTTGTAAGTGACTTAAGTTGAATATTTAAGCCGCTATACCCGAGGTTGTTGAGGTTAAAACGTCTTGATGCTCTTGGCCAAAACCAACCATCATCTCAGCCTCTTTTTATATCTCGCTTAATACTAATGGTAATGACTGACCAATAGACCACGCGAATTATTTATATAGCCTATTTAGGAAATAATAACCTTCGTTATAGATAACCAATTTTTTTTTTCATGCCTCTCCCTCAAAGATCTGCATCGTTTTAAGTTTCAAGATGCGTAGATTCCAAAACTACCAATACTAAACAATACACTACCAGTATACAATACATCATGCGAAGCTACTTGTAGATTTTATTATGATAGATAAGTTATTAATCTATTTTTTCTTGTTCTACTAGTGAATAACTAATGCTGTGAATAATTCAATTATTTAGAAATAATCAACTCTGAATCACGAGTTTTGAGAAAACCAAGCCATTTTTTTTTTTTTCATGAGACGTATTATTTCTTTGACTCACAATTCTCAGCAATCTACGTCGCAAACAATTTTTCATAGCTTTACATTATCTTATGTAAACATAAAAAATTACATATAGTGGCTGTAAGTAATAATAAAAATATTTTTAATATGTGAATATAAAATTCAAGTGCTATTAAAAACATCGTCTAGTTTAATCCGATTCCACGAAGAATGGTAGGAGATTTAAGTTTCTTGTTTTTTAAGTATGTCTTATTTTTTTTTTGTAAAATAGGAAGTAAAATCGAAAAAAATACTAATCTTGACAAAATTGTCTACAAGTGAGAGTAGAATTTTCTTTCTTAAAACCGACGTAAGAAAACTTTCAAGCCCCTAAAATACCCTAAAAGTTGTGATTTGATAGAATAATGCTGTTTTCTGCCTCAAACTG